TTAGTACAACCCAACTTGGATCTTGAAATAAAAAATGAAAATCAAGAAACTCTCAACAACTAATTTAAAAAACCCAGAAAAACCCAGAAACAAAAATTTATGAGCTGATTGAAGTTGAATAATCAACCCAACCCAACACAAACTGACGAAAATACCCAAATTAGAAAAGCAGAAAAAGACAATAACAAGATTAAATATTGTTATAAATTGTGCTTAGAATTTGTCTGAATAATAATTAATTGACAATAATAATTAATGGAGGAGGAATACAGCCCATCAAATTGACTTAAAAACGTGGGAATTTGAAGGGTTGATTGAAGGCTGCAGTCTAAAATTGTAGCAAAAAAAATTGGTGAAAAATATATTTATAAGTAAGAAATTAGGAGGGTTTTAGTGTTTTTTAAAGTGATAAAAAAAAAAGGTTTATTTGTTGTGAATTTATGAAAAAGTTTGTTGATGGAATTAATTTCTGTGCAATTTCCTGGATAACTTTATCCTTAACAAAGGATGTAAGGATGTAGGAACCAACCTAGCTTGACTTTTCAAATAATGTTATGGAGTCAAACTTAGGGCCTCATACCTTTGCAACCGGGACCCTCCACTCTTTCACCACAAAACTTTATAAAATTAATATCGAGTGACTGACGTGAAACCCCGCACTAATTAATCCAGTCTATTAAGTACTTCGTCTTATGAAAGACCTTAGGAAGGAAGGGGAATAAAAGGGTTCGAGGAACTGTCCAAGTGTCCAGCGTCCCCAAATTAACTTACAAGTTTACGGGTCTGTTTACATTTACTGAACTGAGCTAAATTGATTGGAGCTGAATTGAACTTGATTGAGCTGAAATGAATATTTTATGAGAGAGGGAAATTAGGAGCTGAACTGAATTAAACTGAACTGAATTGAACTGATTGAAGCTGAACTGAATTGATTGAAGATGAACTGAAATTGAATAAATGTGAAACGTGTATACGGAGTAATTCATTAGAATTTCAAGAAATCATTATTTTATATTTACAACTATGTAAACAAATTCCCTATATATCGATCATATTCCCCTTTTGGTCTCTTCAATTTAATTTACAACGTACTTTGCATTACTATATTAAAGTTCTCTGCCAATGGTACATTCTTATTAACTAGTCGGAATAAATAAAAATGAAATTAAACAAATCTTGAAGTTCTCTACCGATGGTACATTCTTGTTAATTACTTGGAATTTACTAAAAATGAAATTAAACAAATCAATAAGATTTGTAATTTTAAAAAATAAATAAAAAATAAAAAAAAAGAAGAAGAAGAAGAAAACCGAGCTTTAAACGACCAGTCGAATTGATTTGCTTAGCCAAAGTAGGGCAATTTTTAGTACCGTGCAATTTGTAATTAAGACCAACTATACATCCAATAATACATGGGGTTAGCTACTTCAATGGAATAAATTATCTTTAAACCGCTACTAATGTTCATTTTCTAATTATAAACACAATGTTAGTTACAATATTATATTAATACTAGTAGTCAGATTGGCAAGTAATGTTCCATTTCTAAATCATCTTCAATCATCAATTTGATAACACAAAATCTTCTACTATGTGGTGACCACTTCACATATAAGGTTGTTAATTGAGCAATAGGAGGTTATTGTAATGCGTAAATGTGAAATATATTGAATAATGTTCACTGTAAATTATATTCCTCATAAACGGCCTCATACAATATATATATATATATATAGGCTAGGTTACTTGGAGGGCAAGACCAAATAACCTAAAGAAATTCACAAGATATATTTCCCAAATATTCACAATATTATCACAATATTATCTTTCCTAATACCCCCCTCAAGTTGGAGAGTACGGATCTCGAACACCCAACTTGCGAAGTAGAAACTTAAATTTAGTTTTTCCCAAAGCTTTTGTAAATATGTCGGCCAACTGAACCGTCGTAGGAACATACGAGGGTATAATCGTCCCATCTGTAATCGCATCCCGAACAAAATGACAATCTGATTCAATATGCTTTGTTCGTTCATGAAACACTGGATTCTGCGCAATATATAACGCAGACTGACTATCACAATAAAGGTGCATCCCATTCTCATGTCGAACACCTAAGTCACCAAGTAGTCGCTTCAACCACTTTAATTCACAAGTCGTTGCATTCATACAACGATATTCTGCTTCCGATGAAGAAAGGGCCACAGTAGGCTGCTTCTTGGTTTTCCATGACACTGGAGACAAACCAAGAAGCACAAACCAACCACTCAAGGACCGTCTGGAGAGAGGGTAACCTGCCCAATCTGAATCACACCAACCTTCCAACTGTAAAGCACTATCAGATCTCAATAAAATGCCCTGTCCCGGACTCTTCTTCAAATATCTAACAACTCGCAGAGCTGCTTCCCAATGTTCAATCCTGGGTTTTTGCATAAACTGTGATAAAATGTGCACAAAAAATGCCAAATCGGGTCTCGTAACAGACAAATAAATCAGTCTACCTATAAGGCGACGATATTTCTCAATATCATGAAAATACTCTCCCTGAGATAGTGCTAACTTGTGATTTTGTTCCATAGGAAACTCTACAGGTTTAGCATCAAGTAAACCAGCTTCAGTAATAATATCCAGGGCATACTTCCTCTGGCAAATAAAGATTCCTTGTTTATTCCGGGCTACCTCTAGCCCCAAAAAATATTTCAACACTCTAAGATCTTTCATCCTGAAGCAATCTCCCAGATATAATTTAAAATTGAGCATAACATTTTTATCGTTTCCTGCAACAATTAAATCATCAACATATACTAGCACATTAAGCTGCATTTTACCCTTTGTCAGAGTAAATAATGAGTAATCATAATATGACTGTTTAAAGCCATAATTTTTCAAGGGGGCTGTAGCAAGCTTTGCAAACCAGCGTCGAGGAGCTTGTTTAAGCCCGTACAATGATTTCAGCATCCTGCAAACTTTGTCAGAATTATCTTTCTCAAAACCAGGGGGAATTTTCATATATACCTCTTCTTCCAAATCACCATAAAGAAATGCATTATGAACATCCATTTGATGAACTTCCTAATTTTTCACCGCCGCTACCGCAAGAAAGGTTCGAACGGTCACCATTTTTGCTACCGGAGCAAACGTCTCATTGTAGTCTAATCCTTCAATCTGATGATTGCCAAAGATGACTAATCTCGCTTATAATCTCTGTAAATTCCCATGCTCATCATATTTTTCTTTGTAAACCCACTTGCTTCCAAGTGCCTTTTTACCCGGTGGTAGCTTCTCTAGCACCCAAGTACCCTGTTCTTCAAGTACCTGAATCTCATCCGCCATTACCTTTCTCCAACCCTCGTGTTTCATGGCCTCCCTAAAACTTTTGGGTTCATTTCCTCCTGTAATAGCAGCAATATATGTTCTATGTTTCACAGAAAACCGGTGAGAATCAACAAAATGTGTTATAGGGTAAACAGTACCTGAGGGAAGTGATGTCACGAGTGAACTCTGATTTGATGTAGATGGACTTTTATTTCGGATAGTATGAGTCACAAAGTCGCGAAATTTAACCGAAGGAATTTTTGTTCTCATGCCTTTACCTAAGGCCTCATCCCCACACTGCCCATTCATGTCAGTTTGCTGTTGTTGGGCAGCAGTCATAGGGTCTGGTTGCTGCTGTGAAGCTGCGGATGTGTGCTGGCCTGACCCCCCTTGCGAGCTGCTGCAAGGAGCAGCGTCGTCAGTGCCTGCGGGAGGAGCCAGCAGCCTGATCAAGTGGCTTGGCAGTCCCCTCCGCGGCCTAGCTGTGGGCAGCATGTTCATGCCGCAGGGGGGTCGCGGAGTCTACTGACTCTGCCTCTGTATTACTGCCATCTTCACTAAACCGCCCCCCCTCATCTCCAAAACACCTCTCCTCACCTCACTTGCCTCCTCATCCCCACACGACAACATGTTAGGCAAATTAGTAGTAGTAGAAGTGCTAATGAACGGAAATTCGTGCTCAACAAACTCCACATCCCTCGAAACAAAAAATTTCTTAGTTTCCAAATCATAAACATTCCACCCCTTTTCCCGAAAGGGTACCCAACAAACACACACTTTCTACTTCTACTAGCAGATTTATCCCCTTTACTCCGTAAATTGCATGCAAAACATAAGCACCCAAACACCCGAATATACTCATAAGAAGGTTGTTTGTCAAATAAAATTTAAAAAGGTGTTTTATAATCAAGCAAACGAGAAGGAGTTCGATTTATCAAATGACAAGCCGCTTGCACACACTCCCCCCAAAATTTGATAGGTAGATTGGCTTGAAATCTCAAGGCTCTAGCTACATTTAAAATGTGTTGGTGTTTTCTCTCAACCCTCCCGTTTTGTTGAAGTGTGCCTACACACGATGTCTCAAAATATATCCCATTCTTAAAGAAATAATCTTTCAAAGAATTAAACTCCGTACCATTATCGCTCCTCACAATCTTAATTTCTTGAGAGAATTGACGTTTCACAATATTCACAAAATTATAAAACATGTATTCAACCTCCGTTTTATTTCTCAATAAATAAATCCACACACCCCTAGAATAATCATCAACAATAGTTAAAAAATAATGAGCTCCACAAGACGATGAAGTCTTGTAAGGCCCCCACAAATCTAAATTGTAATACCCCGTATTTTTAATGTATTTTATAAATTATTTATTTAATTATAAACACTACTACAAAAATTTGCAAAGAGACCCGTTAAAATATACCTGAGAGACCGCCTCATAACGGGTCTCTATCTCAGGGGTCTGTTTGATAAAGAGACCCGTTCATTAGGAAGGGTCTGTTTATAAGGTCAAAAAGACCCATTGTAAGTGATAGTGGGTCTGTTATGTTAGTTATAAAATAAATAATTTAATAGAAAAAGAAACCTGTTATTCAAGATATGGGGTCTGTTTAATGGGTATCAAACAGACCCCTCATGTCAAATAACGGGTCTTTTTGTTCTCTAATTTTTTTTTAAAAAAATTACTTCTTTAACTTTTATGTGCTTTGGCAGGTTTGCATTTAAATTTCGATAATTTTGTTTTCATGCTTAAAAAAAATGGCTGAAAAATCATAAATTATAAGTTACTCGATAATATAGAAATAGCAATGAGTAAAATTTATGTGATACAAAAAAATCATCCAATATAAAATTGGAAAAAAAAAGTACTACCTCCGCTTCTTATTACTCGCAACAAATTCCTTTTTTGGAAGGTTCACATTACTCGCAACAACTTACTTTCTTTCCTTTTATGGTAGGTTTTTTCTTATAAATTTACCATTTCACCCTTACTTATTTTATAACTCACAACATTACTACTCCTAATCTAAATTTGTTTAATTTAACTCTACTTACTTAACTTAACAATTCCCACCAAATTTAACCCCATTATCTTAAATTAACCCACAACCCAACTACCTTCAATGAATCTGCATTCAATTGAGGTTGAAGGTGGTTGAAGGCATTGAATGGGGGTTCTTGAATTTTCCAGAAAAATCCCCCCCATGAACCATATTCGTTCATATTCTCTCTCTCTCTCTCTCTCTCTCTCTCTCTCTCTCTCTCTCTCTCTTCCTCTCTCTCATCACTCGTCTTCCTCCTCTGTCTTCACTCTCTGGTTTTACTCTTTCTCTCTCTTCATTTCCTCGACTTTGCATCCCTAATCCTCTGTTTTGACCTTCAAAAATGGGTTCTTCGACTGCTGAGTCCCCAGATCTACGCTGCAACGAGTCCCTTTCTTCAAACAGCAAAGGTTCTTCTCCTGCTCTTGGTGTGACACGATACATTCCTAGGAGAGGATGTGGGATGCTGAAGCCCGTTCGCCGTGCTTCTATAATTGCTAGACGAAGGATTCGAGGAGCCAAGCTTGTTGAGTACATTTCTAGTGATGACGAGGAGGAGAAACCTAAGCCTTCTGCATCAAAAGCCTCTTCTCCCAGTGTTCCGGTGATAGATCTGGTTGATTCACCCCCTAAAAGGCATCGTCCCGTGGTTGCGGCACTTCCTACCCCTACTGATGTGGCTCCTGATGCTAGATCTGAGACTGGAGAGTCTAAATCTATGGAGCTGACTGCTGAGGAGGTCCTTAGGCCACCTCCATCCCATTCTATGATGGGTAGGTCTGGGGCTGGCCCTAGTTCCGGGGTCAAGAGGGTCAGATTTGGGCTTCCGAAAGGACAGGAGCTAGATGATGTGTACACGGCCTACCTCCAGATCTACTATCCTCAGTGCTACACCCCCCCCCCAAACTAATGGGGCAGCGTAAATTCTGAAACCCTATTTTTTGTGTATTATGTTTATAGCATGATGCTGTTGAGATTGAGTCCCCTGATGGTGCTATGTTCTTTTTTCATGTATGACTGAGTCCTTGGGTTTGTGTTGCATGTATGACTTGTTTCTTTGTGTCGAGTTACATTACTGGGATGCATTATGCTGCTATGGTGTTTGTCTGCTTGGTTGCTGTGAGTATTGGCATTGTGAATGAGTTGTTGGCTTCAATTGTAGTTGTTGCATTTCATTGATTCTGCTGCCTCTGTTTTCCTGCCTCTGTTTTACTAGTTATTGCACTGTCTTTGTGGGTTGATTTTGCTGTCCCTTACATTGAGTACCTGAGTCCCAAAAATAAAGGCCCTATAATGCAATGAGTCCCCCCACATACAGTACAATTCAATTTTTTAAATCCATATGATGAAGGGACTCAGCTGAGAACTAGTTGATACATGTGGAAGCTCTAGTGACTTCTCTTAGAGGTTGTTGTTGAGGTACCCATTATCTACTATGCTTTGATGATATAAAATCCTATCTGATGGACTTTAAACAAAAGTAATCTTGATTTTCATCATTACAAATGGTCTTTGTTACTTACAAAAGTTTACTTTGATCAAGTTTTCCTTAGTACAAGACTGCCATTAAATATGGACTTGCTATTTACCAAAATACACATAACCAAAACTTAAACTAAAACAAAAAAAATAAAGTTTAGGGATGAGTGGTTATGTGTGGCAGTCTTTGTGTCCCAAAAGCTTGAGTAAAGAGTCCCCTGTTGCTTAATCTGCATCCACTTCCATGTTAGCTTCTTGTTAATGGTTGTTGGTTGTTTGAACTTCAATTGTGTTCAAGTAGTTAACTACACTGTTTAGAAGATCCCTGTCCAATTCTAACAAGTCTGGTAGTAGACTTAGACTATCCAAATGCCTTTTTTTCATATGTGGAGGGACAAAGTTGTTCCCTCCCATCTTCTCCAGAATTTTAAGCATGCAACTTTGTAGTGTTATCCAAGTGTACTTGTTGACAGTTAAATCAAATGAATTCCATGCCTCATCCACCTTTGCAATTAGCTCATCTAGGTTCTTAGGGAATGACTGATATTGAATTGATTGAATCACCCTAAATAAACCTAAGTCTAAAACATTTAAATCTGGACTCTGAGCTGGTTGATACACAAATTGGATGTTAAACCCATATGCTTGACATGCTTCTTGAAACTCAGGATTATTAGGCACTTGATGGGGTCTTGCATTGTCCCATTGAATTGTAACATTCTTAGGTAGTTGTGCAGGCCACTTTTCATACAATGATGGCAGTACATGATTGAGTAACATTTCCCTTATAGCATGAATGTTCACAGACCGTATTGCCTTTGTTTCCAATGTGCCTTTGTCCCTATTTTTGCTCTTCTTCTTTGCCATCTCATATTTCACAAAAGGGAATAACCCATATTTCCCATCATGCAACATATTCTTGTGTTCATCATATAAAGGCTTTCCAACCATGCCCATGAACATTGCCTTGAGTTTGAATCTCTTTGACTGCTGTGCTCTATAAGGGTTCTCTTCATTAGGCAGCAAGTAAAACGTTCTGGTTTCAGGGTTAAAAAAAACCATTTCTTATCTATGTGAATTGTGTATTGCATGTCAATGAAAGTAGGGTCCCCTAAGGATGGAGCAGGGTTCACCCAGCTTAGAACCCACTTCATTCTGGCAACTTTGTGATTTTCTGATAGTGTTGGATGATTGTTTGTTGTATGTGTTCTGAGCCTACCCTTTTTCCTTAATCTATGAATGGTTGAAGGGGACACATGAAGGGCTGCCTTGTTGCTGTTGTGAATCTGCTACTGAGTAGAAGCATTCATGGAGTCCCTCATTGTAAAACTCTGTCTGTTGTTGTTCTTGTGCATAAAGATGATGCATGTGAAAGAAATCATCATCAAAGAAATCATCCATGAGTCCTTTTTTTTTAGATTAGGTGAAGGTGATGATATGGTGACTGTGGCTTTTTTTTGCGGTCTTCAATGGAGCCTGATTTCTGTACATATGATGCTGCTGATGGAATTAACACAGCTTTTGAAAATTAGGATTAATTTGATTATGTAGGAAGATGTAATTTGTAGGGCTGCCTGTATTTTGCTAACTAATTGTTGGTGTTTTAACAATACTGTGATACTGAAATTATCCCCCCCCCAACCCACTTATCCCATTCTCAAAACAGTTTGCTTAAAAAAAATAGGGTAAGTTGGATAGAAGACCTCTTTATAATGAAGTCTTTTTGTTTGAAATCAATGACAAATTTGAATTTGGAGAAAAGGTTGAATTTTTGTGGAAAGGGGAAGGAGGGAAAAATAAGGAGCCAAAAAATTTGGAGCCTTTTGGAATAAATCAGAAAAAAGGAGTGAGAAATCCCCACTCTAAAAGATTCCCTCCCTCACTTTCCACTTCCCTTTTCCTCCCTTTTAACTCCCCTAATACTTTACCCCTCCCCTTAATTAATCCCCCTTCAATCTTTTACCTCGGCCTTCGCATTCTTGTACTTTGTTGCGAGTAATAAGAATAGGAGGTAGTATTATAATTTACTAAAATTTGCAATTATATTACATGAACAACTAAACAAGGCTTTAGTACTCAATTTTCTTCCTCCTTTGTTTGAAGTCACATAAACCTGACAAAACAAAAACAAAAAGTAAAGAATCATTGTCAGAATTATACTAAAAAACTGATTTGAAAACCCATTCAATAAATAAAAAAAGAAAAATTAAATACACCACAGATTATTGAATTGAAACAAATCATAAACATCACAAGTAATTAGTAACATTAATAAATAAATAAAAAGAAAAATTAAATACATTACAGAATATTGAATTGAAACAAATCATAACATCACAAGTAACTAGTACTAATTTATAGCACAAAAAATTGCAAAACGCCATACTCTGCATAACATTCGGTTAATAAGTTTGTTGAAAAAAGTATAAAATCAATCAAAAGTTCAATAACAATCCAATTAAATTATAAATTTCCAGACAAATTCAGAAATGGAAAAATCAAATTATGGATAGATTACCTCAATTTAGATCGGAAGTTAGGTCATTAATTGGACAACAATTCTTCATATTTTCCAGATCTATTATCATAAGAGGTTCAGTATCTCTCTGCCTTTGAAGAATTAAAGTATACCTTGAATTCGGGATACCATGACCATTCACCATCAACTTCAAGCAACTGAAATACGCCGCGCGCCGTCTTTTAATTCGATTCTAGTACAAAAGCAAGCATCTTGGTTGTTTGTTGAAAATCGCATATTTGGTCAAATGAGAAGAGAAAAAGCAAGCATATTGAGGGGGAGAGATCGAAAAAGCTCGACCTAGAGTGCCCATTATATCATATTTTAGAGTATTTGCAGAGTTTTGGTTTATGGAGGAAGGAAGAGGAAGCTAGTGACGGCGGATTCATAAAAAAGAGAGGATGAGGGTTTTCATTTGGCATTTGGGTTAGGCAGAGGTTATGAAGAGAGAAGGTGAGTGAGTTTTGAAGGATACAAATCATACAATGATAAAAAATTAAAATAGAGTTCACGTACGTATTGCTGCAGGATCAAAGGTAATAGACCCGTTAAACTTGAGAACGGGTCTCTTATCACCCCCAATTTTCTCAAATGTGTGACCTAATATAACGGAGAAACCCGTTAGGTTTGCTAACGGGTCTCTTATCTCTCTTTTTTTTTCTTACACCAAAATTCATACACATAAGAGACCCGTTATAACTTATGTTGGATCTCTTATATCAAGCAGACCAGTTATTTAAACAACAGGTCTTTTATCAAGGGTATCTTTTCCAAGTTTTGTAGTAGTGAAAATATATTTTGGGTCAAACTATTTTAATTATTGAATTATAGATAAAGCAAGTATTTATATCTGGGTCAATAAGTATTTAATCCAAACGTAGCCCATCTTTATTATGAACACAATCATCCTAGGCCACGAACTTCTCGAGGTCTGTCGCCCCACCAATCTGGAAACCCGTGCAACTGGAAACACGTGGACTCATCATGTCCCTCACGATTACATTGAGTGCAAAATTTATCAGAATTATCACGCGGCTTGACCTTCAGTTCGTACTGCAATTTGAAGGCCACAACATTATCACGATGTTGTGTAGAGGAACTCCCCCCCCCCCCACGCAGCTGCTCGGCTTGAACTAGTTTTTGATAAGCCCTATCAACACCCGAAAGAGGTTCTTGTGCAAGAAGCTGTCCACGAATCGATGCATATGCATCATCTAAGCCGATTAGGAAGTGGTGTACTTAGTCATCTTCCCTTATTTTCTCAACTTGAGCGACGATGTTACATTTGCACTGACCACAGGAACAATTAGGCACCGTCACATAAGCAATTAATTCATCCCAAATCTTGGACAACCGCCCAAAATATGCAGCAATAGTCTCACCCGATGCTTGTTTACAGTAACCTAGGGTCTTCTTCAATTGGCACACACGAGTGCCGCTCACAACACAATAACGCTTCGTGAGATTGTTCCACAACAAACAAGCATCATCATAATCTCCAAGGGTAGACTGCACAATTGGATCCAAGGTATTCATCAACCAAGACACCAACATCGAGTGCACGGCCACCCAATCCTCAAGCTTCTCAGCTTCACTCGGCTTTGCAACCGAACCATCAATAAAACCAAATTTTCTCTTTGCTTTCAAAGCTGTTCTCACAGCCCTAGCCCATTCATCATAATTATCACCCCTTAATTGAATAGGAGTAATAACATTCCCTGGTCCATCGCTCGAACCTAGATGAAAGGTCAAGTCGACCTTCGATTTTCCTCCATCCCCTCCTGTCATCTCTCACGCACAAAGAACAGAAGAAAAAAAATTGATTGTGTTGAAAAACTCACGGAAATAACTCACACCCTCCAACAATGTTTATGAAAAACAATGTTTAAAGAAAAAAAATTGATCTTCACAAGGCTCTTGATACCATGTAAAATATATTGAATAATGTTCACTGTAAATTATATTCCTCATAAACGGCCTCATACAATATATATAGGCTAGGTTACTTGGAGGGCAAGACCAAATAACCTAAAGATATTCACAAGATATATTTCCCAAATATTCACAATATTATCACAATATTATCTTTCCTAATAGTAAGTGATGTTACCCAACAGATGTGAGTAAATGGGGTTATTCCATGGATGCAGGATTAATCAAATGGATAAATGAAGTTAGTCCTTGTTTACTTCACCTTATTTTGCTGAAATAAAATTTTTGATTCTCTACTATATTTCTTTTTAAAGTTATATATTTTTACTGAACTTAAGTTATTTATACTGAACTTAAATTATTTATACTAAATATTATGAGTATTTTTCAAAGTGGAGTGAACAGGGTCCTATTCGTTTACTCCCTCCGATCCGCTTTTTTTTTAACTTTAATAATGAATTAATAATCATTATATATATTAAAAATACTTGTAGTAACTTTAAATTATTGCTAAAAAAACTTATTTACTTTCTCCAATTATGTATGTAACCAATACTTGTAAACTCTAATTTATAAGAGAGGTGACTTGGGTGAGTGAAAATGTGTCAACATTATGGTGTAGAAAAGATAAGATGGTAAAATGATTTTGTCAAAAATAACAACAATTATTTGGTGTAACGGGCCTCACCATGTGTAAACACCCATTTGTGTCTCCCCAAAACCAAACCCAGTGATGAGTACCTTTCGCGTCGAATCATAATCGAATGAAGTGAAAGTGTAGAAAGTCTAGTGTTGCGGATAGTTTTAATTTATTTTCTCTTCTCTCTGTTTTTGAAAACTTATTTTAAGAAAACAGCCCATCTAGTTTGGTTGGTCCATGATATGGGTCCAATAGTAGTGTAGTTGGATGGGACTTGACAAGAGCTTTCCAACGATATATTATAAGCCTAATTCCGATGAATATTGAGGAAGTTATGGCCAATTTACCAAACTGGGCCCGGTTTGAGCCTTATGTGCGGCCCAATGATCTAGGGGAGGGCCTAATATGATTTATCATTCCTAATGCAATTAGGAATAGTTTTAGTCATCTAGATTCTTCTAGAAGGTTCTTTTCATTCCTAATTCAATTAGCATTGATAAATTGATTTTTGTTGACTTTTCAGAGTTTTAATTAAAATCAAAGAGCATTTTTGAGGAAAGATACGATTTTATCCTCCTGTACGGTAATTTTTATCTGATTTTAGAAAACGCGTGAATTTCTGAAATCAACGCCAAACGGCAGCTGTAGCGCCTGGCGCTACGCTTGGCGCCTGGCACTAGTGTTGGCGCTGGTTCGTTTTTTTGTGCGCCAATGCTATATTTTGATAATTTTATCTTTTTGGCTGATTTTCTCTATAAATAACGTCGTAAAAACTCCGTTTTCATTCTCCTACAACCAGTTTTCAATTCTCTCTCATTCTCTTTAATCATTCACCATCTCTCTCTCCTTTCTAAACTAGCTTTTTACATACAAAATTTCGCATTCATTAGATCTAGACACACCTAGCCATATTCGAAGTTGCCTTCGCCCTAGACGTGAAAGGTTTAATTTTTGAGGGTTTTGGTCCCAAATCTCTCTTTCAATTATTTAATTTAATTGTTTTATTTTATTATTTTCCTTGAAGTTACTAACGTGTGTATTTTGTTATTAGAAAGAGGTACGAGGCATCAAAGTAAGTACTTTAATGGTTTTATTGATATTATGATGTAGAAATCATGTTTAGATTGTTATTGATTCATAGTATCATGTCTAGGGTAACTTTAATATCAAGCATGATTAAAAGTATGATGCCTTTTATGTTCTTCCTAATATTTATGATTGTTAGTATCATGTTAGGGCTAAAGATTTGATTTTTATTGCTTAATGACATGCTAGGGTTTGTTATTAATCTTGTTAGTATCATGCCTAGGATCTTGCTATTATTATTATTATTATTATTATTATTATTATTATTATTATTATTATTATTATTATTATTATTATTATTATTATTATTATTATTATTATTATTAATTAATAATAATAATATTATCATGATTTATGATTATTATGTTGCTTGTTTTTTATTGTTATTGCTTGATCACACCTTTTATGCATGTTTAAAGGGAATTTGGTACTTGTAATCACGCTTAATAAGATAATTAATAATCTTGTTTAGGGTTAATTTGATTATAATTCAAGTGATCGCCAATAATAGTTTTATTTGTGCATTAAATTCAACCAACATAGATAAACAGGTTTAGGGTTAATCCTATTGGTTGCATGTTAATCAGAAAGCGCACATGAATACGATCAGAACAAAGTAGAGGCCTATTATTAGGGCAGGTTCAATCTCTTTTAGGTTGGATTTGTACCTTCATCCCCGAACCCTTATTTGGTTCAAGACCTTATGGAGTTGACGATCTCTTGGATCGTTAAGGGGTGTAACCTTCACCCTGTGAATGGTTTACAAGTTCCTAAAACTTGTTGGTGACTCTTTTGCTCTATCTTCTTCTCTTTTGGATGCCACCGTACTTTAATGTATGATCACAGTGGGGTTCAAGCTAAGGGGTTTTACGCTTGAAATATTCCCTACACCATGCGGCAGGGTTACCTGAATTT